TACTTCAAGTCCTGTGCAAAAACGCATGATCGCACGGGCCCACCCGGTGCGTTTCAGCCTGGGTTCGTATTTGTTTTTACTCTTCATTCCTGTAATGTGCTGCGCTAGCATTACTCTTATAGTGTTTGGCTGCATTGAGAGCGTTGTTTATTCTTTATTTTAATAAATTTTTGAAAACTCAAGTTGGAGGAGTCGATTGGCGAGCGTCCGGCAGCGATTGCATTATTGGCATTCACCTAAACCCCTGTGCTAATTTTGCTCATTTACTTATAACGCTGTTAATCAGTCGAAATTATTTATGGACTACAATAAGTGAACCGGCAAGAGAAGAATGAAGACGCAAGTTCAAGTTTAAGAGATCAGAAGGTCAAAAATTGGAATTCCTTTCGATTGTTTTTTCGACGACTAGTTTTCCAAGCCTAATTTTGAAAGTCCCAACAAAACATAGGCTGCATATTTCACCTGGCGAATAGGTCAAAAACGCCACCATGATGGGACAGAAAGGATCCTGCATGTTTTGTCACTTTCATCCACTGTGAAACTAACAAACTTGGTGGTTCTTGATGGTTAGGTTTGATGGCTCTGTAGATCCGAGAATGTAGTAACTGGCAGAACAGGAACAAGGAATAGGCCCAGGTTCGTGGATCTAAATGCCAAAAAACTTTTTGGGTGATTTATTTGGGAAGTAGTTCCAGGGATCGATGATTGTTTCGTTGTCGGGGTTATCTGGTAAGCAGTTTGACAATGGCTTGGAATGCAAGCGGCAATTGTTCATTTCAGTAATTTGAAGGAGTAAAAGCATTAAATGCTAAAGGAAGTTGTTGCGCTCTTTTCAGCAGTAAGCAGAAGTGACCTAAGAAATGAGTTGCAAGTTTAAAATGAATTCCTGAACCTGCTACTGTTTGTCATTCTTGAAAATCTTAACGGCCCCGAACTGGCCTGCTGTTTTTCATTTAGTTCTGCAAACATACCTTTAACGTTAACTGTAAATGTTTTGGCGACTTCACCAAATTCATTGCATATTTTCACTGTGTATTCGCCGGAGTCATACTTTGTTGTTTTTCGCTTGCACAAACGAACCGTATCACCAATAATATCAAGCTGCAGTTTGGCACCCACGGGGAGTGGTTTATCGTCCAGGAAGCACTGAACTGTTGGTTCAGGAGCTGCTTTGAATGGAATGTTGAGGATCAGATTCTCGTGTACTTCCAAATCAATACTATCAGGCAAGAGTTGCTCTTCGATAACTGGTGCCCCTTCTACAATCACGGTTGTAGAAGTTTCCGATGAATCGATATTCACAGAGTAGCGTCCTGCTTGCTCATAAGTAGCGTTTATGATCGTCAGTTTATACAGGTTGCCCTCCCTAGCCGTTACGTAATTTTCCTTTGGCAACTCTTCGCCGTTGATCTTCCACGTAACGGTCTGTGCCGGGTGTGTAGCGGTCACAGACAGCGTTATATCTTCGCCGAATTTGCCAGACGTGCGCCACGGCAAACGCTCTACAATTTCTGCTGGTGTATCTTCTACACGAATAACTGTTTCTGCAACGATGTCGCCCAGTTTGGCGATAATCTTCATTTCACTATCCTCTGGCGTAATATCAGCAACCTTGAGCGTCCTTGTGAACGAGTCTACTTCAGCAGTACATCTCGAAATCTCTTCTGCAGGCTTACCGTTAACAAACCACATCAGCTCATCTTCGTCATTCACAAGCTCGCATTCAATTTTGACTGTATCACCGCGAAAAACAATAATTTCTTGATCAGGAGCTTGAATAAATCCGGACCGTTTCTTTCGAACATGTTCATATAAGTCTTCTTGTTTCGGTGCTATCATTGCTTGCTGTTCAGTTTCCGCTGCGACCTCGGCTGGGCGCTCACTCACGGATTTGCGCAAAATAGCCAAATCAACTCTTTCGTCTGCCTCTGGTACTTCCTCAGCCGTTCCCTCACGCTTAGCTTTGAGAGTAAATTCAGCTACAGCAGTTTCTTCATCCAGCAGTGGCTCTGCCTCTTTTCGCCTCTGCTTTTTCACTTTTTTGCGTTGTACTTCGGCTACAGTTCGTTGTGCCTGTTCGTAAAAGATTTCATTCAGAATTGCATCACATTCCTCACTTTCTTCTGATCTTCGAAAATCTACCGGAACTGTTTTCATTTGCATTTCGGCAACTCCCAATTCTTTTAACTTCTCCGCATCTTTTTTCCGTTCACCTGCCGTTTCCTCGTCTTTTCGTTTTGGCTTTTCAGATGGCCTACGGCGTTTCTTCATTTCAACTGTAGCAGTGACTGCTTCCAAGTTGCCGATCAGCAGACTAGAAGATACTTGTTCCAGCAGCTTATCCTTTATGAACGTAGCTTCTGTGCTAACCAGAACTGGTTTCGGCATTTCCAAGGTCTTTCGTCTGCTCGCTTTTTTCTCTCCAGCTTCCTTTAGCTCCTCCATCAATTTACTCCTTTTTCTCTTTGGGACTTCACCGTGCACACATATAGCTGCTGCTTCACTTAAAATATGCAGAGCAACCACATCGAAAAATTCCCGTTGTTCGCTAGCGCTGAATGAAGCGAGGATTTCCACCAGTTCCGAAGCCCTATGCCTTTTTTTCTCAGCCTTATCCTCGGTTGTTTCAGCCTTGCGTTGCTTCTTTGCAGATGCCTGCACAATTATCGCTAGCTCCTCAACAAGCTTAATGAGCAGAGTACTTTCTGCATTCTCTCGACGATCACCTTGTCCAAGCACGAAGTCTACTTCTTCCATCTCTTCCTTCACTTTAGGTGCAAGCGGCAGTTTAACCTGCTGTTTTAGTTTTTGTAAGGATTCTGCTGATTCAGCAGGCTCTTCCGCACCAGTGAATGTAAACTCTTCAGAATCTGGTCGAATCATCACTGGCTCACGAGGCTTTGCTGAATCCACTTTCGCTGTGACAGTAGCAGGGAGGGGTTTTTTTGGCGATAATTCTACTTCTGCGCTTTCTTCATTCATTGCAAGTTCGGTGGTGACAGTTGTTTCTGAAAGTAATGTGCTCTTGTCGCCGAATTTCGAATTTATCTCAGGAGGAATCACAAGTGACTTCGGTATTTTCTTCTTTTTCTTTCCAACTTTTGCTTCATCGATTTCTGCTAGTTTTTCAATAAGCAGAACTTTCGCCTCTTTTTCAAAGTCTGCCACCATTTTCGGCAAACCCGTAGCAAATTCAACGGTCTCTTCTGTAACTTTAGTCCTGAGTGGCACAGTTACTTCAGTGATAAATTCCTTTTTCACTGGAGCTTCAAGCGAAAATTCGACGTCTTCTACTAGTGATCGTCGTCGTTTTTCTTTTTTTGGCTTTTTCTTCTGAAAATTCCAAACAGTTAGATTCGATTTATACCCTGGTTTTGATCTTTAGGTGCTGTCCTTTAGCCTGTTACGTTTATTAGGCTTAATGAAGCATAAAATGTGAGTTACCTGAACTTCTTTCTCCATTTCTTCAGTTATTACTTTCGCTTCTTCTTCTGAAACTAATTTTTAATATTAGTGCCATGAAACTAAACGCAGTGGTATGACAGATGCATATAATAAAACGAAAGGGCAAGTGAAGAATACTCTGCGACATAAAAAGCATGTAACCATAAAAGTAGGGGAGTAAATAGTACGATCTTTTGCTAAAGGTGGTTAATGAAAGAGAAAGGAAGCAAAAAAATACCGAATTTGTCGACAGCAAGCTGTTCTGGGCGTTCTAGCCTCACGCTTAACTGCACGTCAGCATAACAGGGTAGCGAAAGCAGCGCTGCCGCCTCCTCACTTACCGTACTTACTTTAGCTTCTTCAATAAGCCGGGTTACTGCCATCACCGCCGTTGGCATTTGAACAATCAAAGATACCAGCTGAAATCATTTTTCTCAGTCGTATATTTGCAGATAGCAAGAACAGGTCGACAATGCATGCTGGTTCGCAGTCCTTCCGCTGCCCTACGCCCTACCAAATCCCGCATCAAATCACACCTGCTTGTGATGAATCTTTGAAAAGACTACTTAAACTAAAAAAAATAACCTGAGTGTAGAAAGTAGGCCCAGTAGCTTCGATAAATTCCTCTTCCAGCATAGCCTCCAAAGAGACATCAACATCCAGAATGTCGGACGTAACCTCCGACGTGGTTAGTTCGGCCTCTTCGAATGTCGCCAAAATATCGACAGTTCCATCAGTTGTCGCCAGCTCTTCACCGGCTTCTACTTCAATTTCGGCAATCACTACAATTTTTATCTTATTTGACAACCCTTTATTTTCATTTTACCATCCAGGTTCGTTTTTACAATTTTTCTGCGAGTAAAAGACGCTAAAATTAAAAGTTCATTTCCTCGACACTAAACTGCAAAGCTGCGGCCACTTTCGCGCGAGCACTCTGTTTAAGGAACAAGAAAAATTTTAAAGCGCCTTAGAAATCCTAGAACTCTCGTCAAACTCCTACTTTAGAAGAGTGATATATCTAAAAAAAGGAAGCAAAATTTTCTTGTTTTTGTTCGAGGAGTGATGCAGTCCAAAAAGCGGAAAAAAGTAAAGCAAAACAAGAAGCTAAATTCAACTGAATACGGATTAAGTCAAAAAAGAAAAACCAATTCAAAAAATAGGGAGAGAAATGGTCGTCTAACAGTGCAACGTCACCACATTAGGCGCATTTTTTCATGAACTTCAAACAAGCTTTAGTGATAACATTTTATGGTGACTCACCGAACTTCCACTGATCTGAGACGTCCCTGCTTGGCTGCGTCAGTAGTTCGAGCGTAGCCTTCTGCACCGGCTCACGCATCGTAGAAACAACATCGACGGTAATCTTCTGCGGTAATTGTGTTTCAGCAGACTGTTTCTCTTGTTTCTTGAAGGCACATTCAACTGCTTCGTCAGTGCAGCTCTTACCTTTTTCCTCATAAAATACGGCTATCGACGTAGAAGCGCGTTCGCGGTGCATGAACAGCAGTTGAGCAGCTTCTTCACGCAGCGCTGGCCGCACAATTTCTTCCACGAGCTCAATTTGTTCGGTGGGCTGCTCCGAATTGAACACGGCGCCGACACCAATCTTCTGCGTCCGCTGCTTTGTGAATTCAAATGTTACAAACACTCCTTCCACCGGGAGTTCTTCCACGGTAGTTGGCGCACTTACAAGTACTTCTGGTTTTTCAAGTGTTCTTTTCATCTTTCGCATAACCACCGGGCGAACTGAAAGGGTACAGCGCTCGACGTTAGACAGAATAATCTCCAGTTCGACAAAATCCTGCTCCGATGGTTTTTCGACAACCAAGGAAATCACAGTTTTCAAAAGTGGCGAAATTTTTCGCCCCTTCTTTCGGATTTTGTCTTGCAAGGACGATTCTTCAGCTTCCACCCTTTTCAGAATTTCCTCACCTTTCTTAGCTACTACAAAGGATTCACTTACTGATTCCAAAGCACCGACCAAGGCTGAGGAATATGTAACTTGGTAAACGTTCTTCTTTTCAAAGTCAAAATCAACTTCCACCGCTTCCTCTTCTGCAGCCAGTTTCTCAATGATAAGCGGCTCCTTCGCTTTCCTGGCCTTCTTTTTAATCTTCTTTCCCTTATCTGCTAACCGTATTTGAAACATTGCTGAATCAAACATAGGTTTTGACAACTCAGCAAACTCAAGGAGCAAATTTCTGCACAATTCGAATGAGACTTCAACGTCATCCACGGTTTCAATGCCGAGACCTTTCAGCCTGCTGTCCTTCGTGGCAGCTCTCTGCATTTCTTCTGTTATAGCCTCTACCTCTGAAATCCCCCTGGCACCTGTAGGCTTCTTTCCTAACCGGACCATAATGTCAGCTACCTCCAGTGTTGCTGCCACCACAGAAACATAAGAATTATCAAGCGCCGCTTCTCTCGAAAAACCGATCTCAGTAGCAACTTCGGCCTCCTCGGGCTTCTTTTTCTCGACGAGTTCCTTAGGCCTTTCTGTAATTGCAATTCCTTCTTCGGCAGCGACACGCTTCTTGGGTAACCGAAGAGTAATGCTGGCCGAGTCAGATAATGTGACAAATGCGGAGATGCCTGTTTCCTCACCTTCGGCATCCTTCGAAAGCTCGATCTTGCTAGTAATTTCGGCCGCCTCAGGTTTCTTCTCAACGAGCACCACCGGCTTTTCAGCGACTGCAACTTTTTCTTCGGCTTCGACAGGCTTCTTGGGTACCCGAACAGTAACTTCTTCCTCGGCTGCAACAGGCTTCTTGGGTAGCTGAACAGCAACTTTTTCCTCAGCCTCAACAAGCTTCTTGGGCAGCCGAACAGTAATGCTTGCCGCCTCGGATGATGTTGCAACTACGGAGACCTCAATTTCTTCACTCTCGAGTTCTTTCGAAAGCTCGATATCAGAAGCAACTTCAGCCTCCGGGAGCTTCTTCGGCTTTTCAGGAACTGAAACTTTTTCCTTAGCTTCGACAGGCTTCTTGGGCAGCCGAACAGTAATGCTGGCCGCCTCGGTTGATGTTGCAACTACGGAGACGTCACATTCTTCACTTTCGAGTTCTTTCGAAAGCTCGATCTCAGTAGCAACTTCGGCCTCCAGGAGCTCCTTCGGCTTTTCAGCGACCGCAAGTTTTTTCTCAGCTTCGAGAGGCTTCTTGGGTATCCGAACAGTAACTTCTTCCTCGGCTGCAACAGGCTTCTT